GGGGCGAAGAAAGCACTTTTTACAGTTACATTTTACTAAAGACATCTAGTGTAAATTATAACAAATGAGGTAGACATTTGTCTTCACAAAACTTGATGAAATAAAACTCTGTTCTAGAAATATACAGTTAGATTTATATATCAGTAAATTGTATAGAAAGTATTCAGTTCATTTCATATAGCATGAGAGAGAGAGAGCGTGTGCAATTTGCACGCTGCTGAAGTCAGTTACAAACTTCTAATTGACTTCAAAGTCATCCATTAGCTTTTAAATTAGCTTCTTGCCAGTAGATAATACACCCCTCTTGCTCTCCTAAAACAAGAAGTAAATTTAAACTTTTTTAAAAAGTATTTATTATTTTTACTCCCTGCAAAGATACAACTAAGAATTTCTAGAGGCCGGGTACATTTTCATCTGTTTACTAACAAAATAGCGGGTCAGTAAACAGATGTAACAAACTTATACCATGTAAGTATCTGTCTTTGATGGTTACACATTTATTCAAATCCTGACACATCTTCTGTCACACAAGGTAGACACATGAAAGGAGCATTAACCACCTCTATTAGTCATGACGTATTGCTACTACAGCACCTTTCCTTCTTCTCCTCTTTAGTAGTTCTATTCCTAGAGATCTTCCAGGAAAACCCTAGTTAGAGTTAGAAGCACCTGATTCAGTGTTACAGCAGAATATACAAGTGACAGAGTTAAGAAAATAGTTGGAAATATTTTTCTCGGTTTATTGATCCAGAAGAATGCACCAGGTGTATCATGAGGATTTACAGATTAGGAAGAACAAGTTCAGTATTTGAACATCAGTGAGGAGGATGCTAGTAGTTCTGACTTTAAGAATGGAGAGGAAAAAAAACCCATCATATTGCTAGTGAAGTTCTGCCAGTCTCACTCCTGCATTTGGAAAAAAACCACTATTGTTGTCTTTCCATTTTATGGAGGGACAGTAGACCTTCTAGTGGGACACAGTTCTGGAGGAAGAAGCATCAAGATTT